CCCGATACGGAGCTGGGGGAGGAGGCGGGTGGGGGCGATCGAGGGGGGGAGGAGATGGAGGAACCGGCAGGATGTGGGGGAAAGCTTACCTGCTCCTGCTGGTTCCTCCGCCGCCGCCTGCTGAGTTTTGAGCTCCCCCGCCCCACCCCCCGCGAGTTTCGCGGGTCTTCTTTCTTGTATAACACTAATTCCAAGCTTCTGTCCCTTTGTCGTTCTTTCAGGCTGCGGTAAAAACCAGAATGGAGGATAAAAATGTGTAGTCACGGCAAACTCAGGCCCAAATTATGCAATATGATTTTTCATGAGTCGGGTCCAGGTACCCAACTCACTCTCCCCCACAATCACACAACAGCTGCAGGGAATGGCTTTTTAAAGGTCTGTGGTGGTACAGTTCAGTTCAGCTCAGTACCACAGCACGGGGGGAAGGAAGGGTTCCTGCCCTGTCTCCATGCCATTTTCCTGAGCCAAACAGCCCCAGAGGGAAGCTATTGGACTCATTTTGGAGCTGCACATGCATGGGGCAAATAACTCAGGAAAACGGTGGAGAGGAGACGGCGGGAGTTCCTCCCCCACACACATGCAATGGTCCCGAGCCAAATCGCACCCCTGCAGACTTTTAAACAGCCATTCCCCACAGCTGCTGTGTGGCTGGGGGGAAAGTGACCCATCTCATTACTGAGTTGACTCTCAGTGGTTTTCATTACGGGACAAAGCTTAGGGGCGGCAGGCTAGGATACAGCCAGGAGAAGCAAAACCTGCCTTCCTCCATTCCTCCCCTCAACTGTGGCCCATTTACTGGCTCCGATATAAAGAATTCCCAAGTTCTTATCTTCCCCTGCATGAGAGTTATATCGATGGGGCTGCCCGGGCTCCCCACTTGCAGAGGAAGAGGGGCAAGTGGGAGGGCTTCTAGTGTCCTGCCCCCACTGGTGGACCTCCTGATGGCACCTGGTATTTTTGGCCACTGTTTATTTATTTATTTATTCGATTTCTAGGCCGCCCTCCCCGCAAACGGGCTCAGGGCGGCTAACATCAGGGCACACATGCCAGTACATAAAAACAGGATAAAAACAAATAGTTACCAAATTTACAAAATAAAATAAAATAGACAGAGTGTTGGGCTGGACAGAGTGTGACAGAGTGTTGGACTGGATGGGCCTTTGGCCTGATCCAACATTGGCTTCTCTTATGTTCTTATGTTCTAGCCCTTTCACTCCGAATTCACAGCACTACGGTGAATTCCATGCTGAACTCCACACAGCTGACAGAGGACACCTAGTGGCTGCTTGATACATTGCTAAGGCTTATTTTTCAGATTTCATTTGCCATCGTTCACAGCTTGACCTATCCTGAGGATTTCACGTGCGCTGCACCAGCGCTGGTCAAACACCACTGGGCTGCAGATCATTTTACTTACTCTTATTTGATGCCAAACAGATTTATATTCGGAGAGATTATAGATTTAAATTCAGGTGCTTTTTGTGTAGAGGCTGTAGCCATTATATGAAAGACACCTGAACTGAGAACTCCAGTGCAGCTGCACTGAATGTACGTGGGTCAAGGACAAGGAGGAGCATTGCTCGGTTTGTGCACATGGCATGGTCAGTAAAATGTTTGGGCAGTCAAAATGCTGCCATCCTGGGATGATTTTAATCCAGCTGTCACTGTTTACTCTGCAGGGTCAGGCTATGGCTCAGTGGTAGAGCATCTGCTTTGCAGGCGTAACTTCCCAGGTTCAATTCCTGGCATCTCCAATTAAACAGGAGTAGGCAGTAGATGATGTGAAAGACTTCAGCTGGAGACACTGGAGAGCTGCTGCCAGTCTTGAGTAGACAATACTGACACTGATAGACCAGTGGCCTAACTTAGTATAAGGCAGCTCCATGTGTTCAAAGTGTTTGTCATATTTTTTTGGGGGGGGGGGGCTTTGCCCTGGTCTCAAGGTCCTCCTGAAAACACACCACGGACCTACCCACTGGCCTGCTCATACAGAAAATCGATTGTCTACGGCAGCTACAAGATGTAGCCCTATCTACTTCTATTCAGTCTAACAGGGAAATGAAAGCCCAGTGCTTGGTGGCACCACTGCAGCTGGGCAAAGCCAGCTCACAGCTCCTGTCACCATATGGCCTCATGCTTACGAACAAGGATCCTGCAGGGAGTGCAGATATAGTCAATGCGTTGCCAGATCCTACAGCACATCCTTCCGCACATGCCCTACCTGTCACAATGGGCAGACCTCAAACTAGCATTTATTTATAGCGCACTCCATACAGAGGATGATGCATACTAAAAGGTGACTCAGTTTGTACAATTCCAGAGAATGCAAGATCTTTTACAGCAGAGTAACAGATTTGTCAGTTTCAAAAGGAGGAGGAAAATTGGTTCAATTTAAAGACACACGTAATGAGATGTATATTTAGCTGACCTTCCAATTTCCAGCCCAATCTGGTTCACCAACTTCCCCAGGGAGAAGATTCATTCCATTATTACAGGCAGTACTGGGAAGCTGCACACTCCGCACTCAAAGCACTGAAGCTAAAAAGCATTGCTTTTTTAGCCCATCCAAGTGCTGTCTCCTTAATGAAGCATTTGTCGGAGTGCTTCCGTGCCTCGAAGCTGTACATCATGGAATAGCGACAGCCTACCTATTTGCAAACTATTTCCCTCAGCCGTAGGGTTAAAAAAAAGAGAGAGTGAGAAAATAAATTCAAAAGTCTTGGCTGATATAAGCATTGGTATAAAACACAGGTTGGAATAAGCAGAATTAAGGTTCTTTCTAAAGCCTGTTGCGTATTTACTGACCACTCTAGCCCTGGCAGTTCAAAGCAGATGTTGGGATTTCTTTCAGTGAGTCAAGGGGCTAGTCATAAAATGAGTAAGCTAAACACCTTGTCCATGGCAACAAAGCCATACATGCCCACCCTCAGAATTAGGCTCTGCCCAATAATTGATTATGCCGCAGGCTGGGTGGAAAACCAGCAAAACCTCTAATCTGTCCTTTCCAAGGCAGATGGGCACAATTTTGGATTCTCTTTCCCAGCTACCACTTGGTTTTGAGAGTTTGTGGTATATTCTGGATAAAACATCCCCACACTTGCCAAATTTAAATTCCTGCCCAATCTGCTGCCTGAGGCATGGCTTTCAGCCTGCTCCACCCACAGGTCCAGCCTTGCCGGGAAGCGTCATGGTGTCACAAAAATAATTACTCAGTGGCAGTGCAATGCTATTTCGCACCAAGGACCATCTCCTTTAGATGTCATGTTACTGCAGAGCTAGCAGTTTTTTCTGCTTCTCCATCAACGCGCTCCACTGGGAAAACATTGATACCCATGCTGAGAGTGCAGCCATGACCTCTGCAGGAACCTGTCTCCCAAGTGCGTCTGAAAAAGCAGCGGGCAGGCAGTGACTGAACATGCACCACTCAGTCCCCGGGCCCAGATGCTGAGTGAGGACCTCTGCACAGATTTGAATAGATGATAGTTCCTGCAACTATGCCTTTTAGGTTAAGGTGGAGGATCACAAGTCTGAATGTTTCCCAAGAGCAAAATCTCCCTGTCCATGGAAAAACTAGTATGTCAGGGACACGGTATTCCATTCCCCGTGTCTAAATCTACCTATAGTTAGAAGAGATTCAGAAAAATGGGGTGGAAGGCTTACTATATCTCCTTACCAAGCAAAATACACTAGCAGCTAATGTTAAAAAAAATCTAGCCACAAGATAACAATATACCAGTCTTTAACGTACAAAGCCACTTTCCTGGATTCTGGCCCATAAATGGAACTCAGAGCAGGGCTATGCAGGTAAGTTGCAGCTTGAATTTTCAGTGGCTCCCATGAAGTTGTGCTAGGTTGAAGGAAAGAGACAAAAATGCCTGGAAGTGAGGTAACCAGGCTGAGAACTGTCAATCAACACTATGAGGGAAAACACAGTGCTTGGGGACACCCTCATAGAGTTAGCAAAACTTGCCTCTGCCACTGCACAGTGCAGCCTCTAATGCAGGACCGGTGTGCTTGTTCAAGATACAAGTGCAAGAGAGCTCTCTTTCATTCCAGGCAAGTGCGCCTCGCTTTGCAGGCCCCTGGCTGCTGGTGAGCTTGCCACCAATTTTACAGGGGTTGCCTCTGGGACCGTACAAGTGTCCTTCATGGGCCAGATGCAGCCCACAGGCCATATATTTGACATCCTGCTTCGACACCAGAGTGTCACATACAGTTCCCAGAGACCATCTTGCCCCCCTCCACCAGCCCATAATCATGGCCAGTACTTTAGGAAAAGTTACGTACGCATGTTTTGCAATTTTCGCCTGACGTAACAGTTTTACCAGCACACTGGTGAAGTGAAAATAGTTCAAAGTTCCATCAGCATGAAGGTTCATCAGCACAAAACACATGTGAAGTCATGGGGAAGGGGAAACAATACCTTACCTCTTCAAGGGAGAGGCCTTGATGATGTCGGACTCCTTCATATCTCCGATTCCATTGGTGATGCCACCACAATGGCCCTTCCTGGCCTCCCCGCCTGGAGTCCCTTCTAAAAACTGAGCATCCTCCTTGATGCTTTGCTGGATCATCGGAGTAAGTGGCATTTCAAAGTTGAAGTAGCTATCGGGCTCTGAACATAAAGTCTCCAGCGACCCGATGCTATAATATAAAGAGGCATTGTCTAGAATGCTTTCAAACTGTGAGCTGTACACATCTACTGAGACTTCGTCGTCTTGTTGCCCAAGGACATCTTCCACTCTTCCACGGACCGCTTCTTCCTCCTCCATTGAACTAGGAATCAAAACCAAAGAAAACCGCTTCAGTTTTTGTTTTAAGACTTGCATGTGGGCTTGCGGGGTGGTTCACGTGCACACGCAAGAGCAGGCTTCCCTTTTTTGATCTGCTAGGTATTGCGGTGTTTACACGCCTGGGCTGCAATTGTGTTTGCTGCGACGCAGAAGAAACACCCTCATCCTCCCCTCAGCACCCCTCAGAACAGAGGAGAAACAAAAGTGGTTTGGATGTTATGATGTGTATAAAGAAACAACATCGGCTCATTGTGTTCAGTGAAAAGACACACTGTGTGCCTCTCTGTCCTAGATTAGCCTTCAGAGATTCAGAAGCTTCTGGGTCCTCTCTCCCAACATCGCAGCCCATTTACAAAACAAAGGGAGAGATTAGGGAATGAGAGAAAGACAATAGTTGTGGGGGGGGGGGTTAGGGAGCTGAAGGTGATACAGTAAAGGTTCCTTTTCCCACACTCTTTTCTTTTACTCATAGCATCAAGAGTTTTTGCCGGTTTTCAAAGCACCCCCCCACACACACACACACACAAAACCCATCTGTGAACAGAGTCAATAGTAGGACAAGTATACCCACCCCAGGCGGCGTTTAGTCATGCTGGCCACATGACCATCGAAACATCTTTGGACAACGCTGGCTCTTCGGCTTGGAAACGGAGATGAGCACCGCCCCCTAGAGTCAGATTCAACTAGCTTTCGAGCAAGGGAAACCTTTCCCTTTCCACCAGTGCCAGGAGGCAAACTCAGGGGAAGGCCTCAGCCTCTACACCCTGCTGCTGGCCCTCCAGAGTAACTGGCTGGTCACCACGTGAGACCAGATGCTGGATTAATGGATCCAGCAGGGCTCTACTTATGTTCTTATGACATTCTACCATACCATACTGCTCATAGCCCCTTCAAAACGTAATGGGCAAACACACAAAACACAAACAAATTTCTTCCACAAAGAAGAAACCCGGGAAGTGTGTCCTTCCTGCCCGCCCCCCCAAATCACAGTCACATTTGAAGCTGCTCTACGGGCTTGGATATACTTGATGAGTTACTAGAGGGGCATGGTGGCAGCAGTTCCTTCTGGTCCGCTCCCCATGTGACTTCAGTAACATCTGCAGAGATCAACAATAGGCTGTTCAATGAACACCATAAACAATTCATTGGTTGACCAAACGGGTCTGGTCAGATGACTGTTTCCTTCTTTCCATTCTGGGCCACGTGAGAAGAAAGCTGGGAAAGGCAGAAAGACCACCCACCTCCCATTTATTAGGCTGGCCGGTCAGCATGCAGCTTAGACCAGCATCACTCTGAGTGAAGAGAAGGACGGAAAGAGCAACAGTTTAATGCCAACCCCCAGGCTGAAAGTGAGCATCCTCACTTGCTGTTGAAGCCCTTACTTCCGATTCAAGTCCAAGGAATGCAAGTTTTGGTGGTATCTTGAACAACCGGACTCTGTGCCAATGCTACACTTCACCACAGGCAAGGCCTTTAGGAGTTACTGTAACTGAGAGAGCTTGTGATCTTTCCTCCCAGCCTCTTAACCAGAGCTGACATATCCGGTCTACACCAGCTCATTATCAGCCACACAATTTCCTTCTGATCACCAAACACTGCCCTTCCACAAATAAATTCACCAGAATCAAAAGACATTTGTCTTATGAGTAATTCCATATTAACCTGGCAAGCTGGCCCAGGCTGGTCGTTCTCAACTGCTTATTCGATGATAAAGGCGTTGCCAAAGCATCTGGGAGGTCAGTCATTAAAGTAATTAAACTCTGGCTTGCTACAGTTGAGATTCTGACTGTTGTGTTTATAATAGACTGTAACACATATTACTCATGCCGGCAGCATGCCCTGGTCATTAAGCACTTGCATGCCACGTACAAAGAAAACTTAATGAAAAATTACAGTTAAAGGAAATGCTGGCTCACTATGCAGTTCGCAGTTTAAGAGGAAACTGAAAGAGGTGTGCAGAACAGAACGGCAAAATCATTTCCACTCTGAACCAAGGATGACTCATTTGGGCTGTTTTAAAGGGTCGTTTGACAGAGGAGAAATGCTTAGGGTGCACACGCACTAAAAGCACAACAGAGATTTCTTCCACATCACTAAACCCGGACATGCACCAGGACTGAGGGGGACTGGGAACACAGAAGTAAGGAACGCTGCGGCAGCAGCCCAGTCTCTGGGACTTTCATGCGCATGGGGGCTGTTTAACTAGCACAGGCCTGCAAACCTCCCCCATAGCAACAGGAGTAAATGAATCTGCCAGCTATTCGGGTGCTTTATTGCCATTTATCATATTTTTAACACATTATCCAAACTACTTTAAACTCTGGAAAAAGCAGTCTTTATATTTAAAAAATAAATCTTGTGATCCTCCAAGCTATACAGAACACACAACAGCCCCTATACAGTGGCTTGTCTGGGGATGCCAACATCCTGGTGAGGCCTGGAGATTGCCTGGAATTACAGTTAATTTCCAGACCACAAAATCAGTTCCCATGGAGAAAATGGCTGCTTTGGAGGTGAGCTCTATGGCATTATATCCCTCTGTGGGGTATATGCCTACCCAAGCCCTTCCCTTCCCTAGGATCCCCCCCAAAAAAAATCTCCAGGAATTTCCCATCCTGGAATTGGCATCCCATCCTCTGCCTCTCGGATGACAGATGACCCTGTGTTTGCCTTCTCCCCAGCAGGCAGCAAAAACCAGGAGCCCTATTGAGCCCGTCTGGCTGCCCGACCTGTGCCTTGGCCTAATAAGCCACAACCTGTGTAGCCTGTAGCAGACACCATGGAATGATAGCAAAGGAGCAGCAGAAGAGCAAAGAGCTATGGGAGAGGAGGAACGACAGTATTCGGTTTGGATGGGGGGGGGGGGGGGGCAGTCAGCAAAGGAAGAAAGAGCACAGCTGAAAGCTGCCTGCCTTCTGATTTGTCAGGGCTGGCTTATCCCACCCACCCATCTCTAACATAGCATGGAACTTCGAACATGTACAGGAGACTATAAAAAGAAATGCTTACACAAGGCAGCTCCATCTGAGTTTGTGTGTGTGTGACTGGCCCAAAGTTACCCAGCAAGCTTCCATGACAGAGTGGGGTGGGATTCGAAATGCATGCAGGGCCCATTTGCACTCAAGCATCTCTGTATTTTTAAATGTGACTCATGAAAGGACTTGCTCAGGCTTTCTCCTCCAGCCATGGCAACATCAGTTAAGGAAAGATGCAGCAAGCGTAACAGTAGTTGTGATTTCCCTCATTGGCTAGAAAAATGGAAACGGGATGTAGGCTCATTTCTCACTCAACAACTGGACAGAAATTCATCCTGTGCATTTTGCCTCATAGCTCTGGATATAAAAGGACCAGAAAATTACTCTCTCTTTTCTTTTCTTTTTTTTAGTGAAAGCTTGGGATGTGGGCCATCTAATGGCCCGTAGCAATACTTTATGTGCACAGCTGAATCAGGGTTGCCAACCTCCAGGTGGAGGCTGGAGATTTCCTGGAATTACAACTGGTCTCAGGACAATATAGATCAGCAGTTCCCCTGGAGAAAATTGCTACTTTGGAAGGTGGACTATATGGCATTATACCCTGCTGAGCTCCCTTCCCTCTGCAAACTTCACCCTCTCTTGGCTCCATTCCCCAAATCTCCAGGTATTTCCCAACCCAGACTTGACAACCCAACCTAGAACTGAGACAAAGCCAAGTTCACCAAACCATGTGAAACCCCCAATGAGAATCACGATACTTCTGCCAAACCCAAGTACCCCTCAGCACACAGGTGTGTCCAACTCATTTCTCCCCAAGTGTTTTACCTGATCTTTGTCTAACAATGCAAGACAGGCCATTCCAATACTCTAACAGCATAATCCTTACATAGGAGTAAGCCCCACTGAATAGACCTGAGTAGGACTCTGAATAAACCTGTTTAGGATTGCTCTCCAACTCCCCCAAGTTGGCACTTTCCCCCCAGTCTCTATTTAAACCCCATCCCGCCCGCCCTATCTGTTGGCTGCATAACCGAGGAGGTGGAGATTCTTGTTTTCATTTGCATTTTTGCCTGCAGTCAGGAAGTCCGGCTGAAGGTTCCTCCCAGCTTTGGAAGAACCTGAATAAATCAAAGCAGCAAGGCCTGGACATGTTTAGCATTTCAAAAAGTAGCCTTTGACTGGCCTCACACCAGAATGGGTTGTTTGGTGTTAGAGCTTTGCTACTGCTATGACAGAGATACCCAGAGAAATTGGGGGGGGGGGGGAGAAATGCAGTTTCAAAACCACTGCATTTCAAAACAGCTCTGCAAAAGAAGTTGGTAACTTCTTTTCTTTTTTAGGGCATATGTTTTTCTAGTACAATTACTGCCCTAAAAACAAACAAAAAACGCTATGCTTAAATACCAGGGCTTTGGGTGATAAAATGTATGAGGAAATAACAATTCTTTAGAGAAGGGGCTGCAGCTCAGTGGTTACTTAATTAATTATCCATTGTGTGTAGAATAGCCAGGAGATCCTAAGACTGTCTGGCAGTCGTAAGTTCTAGCTCTTTAGTATTATTCACCACTAGGTGGCAAGCTAGACTTGTTTTTAAGGCAAGAGACATCTCATAGGTGCTTTGCCATCGCCTTCCTCTGTGTCATGATAACCCTGGTATTCCTTGGAAGTCAGCCTTCCAAATACTAGCCAAGGCTGACCTTGCTTAGCTTCCGAGATCTGATGAGCTCAGGCTAGCCTGGGCTATTCAGGTCAGGGTGGCTTAGTGGTAGAACATCTGCTTGACATGTTTTATACCCCACTCTTCACTGTCTGAAAGAGTCTTGGAGCAGCTTACAATCGCCTTCCCTTCCTCTACCCACAACAGACACCCTGTGAAGTAGGTGGGGCTGAGAAAGTTCTGAGAGAACTGTGACTGACCCAAGGTCACCCAGCTGGCTTCATGTGGAGGAGTGTGGAACCAAACCCAGTTCTCCAAATTAGAATCCGCTGCTCTTAACGACTATACCAAACTGGCTCTCAGAAGATCCGAGGTTTAATCCCTGGCATCTCCAGCTAAAAGGATTGCATAGTAGGTGATATGAAAGACCTCTGCTGGGGACTCTGGATAACCTCTGCCAGTGGTACTAGACAATGATGGACCAATGGTCTGATTCAGTATAAGGCAGTTTCATATGCGTCTGCAAAACCTGGTTTGAATATTCACTGTGTGGTATATGCAACGAGGCAGGGGGAAATATATTAGTCCTTGGCCAGAGTAGGCAGTGGATCTACCCCTGACCGATTAAGAAGCCCACCTTCCAAGAGGCGGCACCCACCATCTTAGATTTCACTCACTGCAGGATCTTTGGACTGCCCCAGTAGCTGTGGATGTGGCTTCACTGGACCTTGAATATCTGAGAGAATGATTTCTCTACATGAACTCAAAGTACACATCACAATCATCTCCAGGTCAGCCACAAGTCTTTCCAGTCAGACACTGTTTTGAGAGCATCTGGAAACGCAGGTCCAAGATACTTGGGGCCCAGTGCAGATTGGGACCACATTACATAGGGACAAGGAGTTTAAAACTTTCCCCCTCAGTTTTGTTTTCCTGATCCAAAACTGCCCTGGAGGGCATGGAAACTGCATGTTTAAGCCCAGAGGAATAAAAGGCTACTCTCAACATAAGCCAAGGTCCACCTCAAGAGTTCAGTCCCCAGTAGGGAACGTTTAAAACAACATCCAACCTACAGTCCTTGTGGACAACCCAGACATGACCCAAAGATTACATAAGTAACAAAGAGGCCCTGCATTGAAGGTTTGCTGCCCACCGAAGGTGTGTTTGGAGCATACTGGAAACACATCCTTTTCAGTTGTGGCATCAAAGGCCTTTAGGGAACTTGTCAGAACATATTTATACTGTCATACTTTTGGGTCGTATTGAAAGAACCCTACATTTTTCTACATGGTGCACATTTAAATGTGTTGCTGGTGTGTACTTGATGGGGGAAGGGGGAGTGCTCTATTACAGGGTAATATTCTGTTTTGAGTGTTCTATGTGTGATGTTCTGTTTTGTGATTTTTACCTTTTTTGTGAGTCTGTGTACCAGGCTCTGGGTACCTTGTAAAGAAAATGAGTAAGTTCCAAAAATTAAATAGCTATCTTCTTTGCCTTCCCACCACGGGGGCACGTCAAGTCAGCCTAAGTCAAACTACCTCCAAATCCTCAAGAAACTGGAGCCAGCTATAGGTTCCCTCCCACACCAGAATATTTTTACCTGTCCTTGTTTAGCACAGATCTCCTGTCTCCATCCAAGCTCTTTTCTTCTTTTTCTCCTTCTTCTACAAAGACTTCATCCTCTTCACCCTCAGCCAGTGAAGCTAAAGGCCTAAGGCTGTCCCACGATCCACTGCAAGAGCTCTCAGGCAAGCCAACCAATGATGATGAGGCTGTGGATGAAGTGTGGTTATTTGGTATTCCGGAGAAACTTCTCCTTTCTACGCTATTGACCTCAGAGTGTCCTGTTCCCTTCTCCACAGCTTTTTGTATCCAAAGGATTTCCACCCCTTGAAATTCCACATGTTTGCTGACAGCCATCTCTTCGGACAGCCTCCTCTCAGGGGTCTTGTCCGTTTTGTCTGAATCATGCAGAGAGAATTCCTGTTCAAAGTTTGCCCAGGCACTACGGAGAATACCAGTAGTACTCTGAGTTTTGCTCTCTGTCCCTTCCAATGGTCTATGACCATATGTTTCACTGCTTTTGTGGGCCTCCTCAGTCTCCTGGGAGGCTTCAGGCTGTATTTCCACAGTTAAGACCATGGTCGAATCTTCTTCTGTAATCCAGTACAGTTTTCTCTCAGCTGGAAGATCTGGAAGAGGCATTTCTAAAGGGGTTTCTTGGTCTGCAAGAACATTCTCTCTGGCCACCTCCTCAACTGCTCGGCCAACACGACTCTCAATTCCCATCTGCATCTCTGAACCAAAAGCATTATTCTCTCTAACCTGTGGCTCTTCATATTCTGAGTCTTCAGAAACCATTAAAACGCCTCCTAGGCTATCAACCAATGATGCTTCATCTCCTCCAGATTTACCATTCTCAAGAGGCCTCGGCAGCAGCTGGTCACTTGGCCGACCATCTGGAGCACATGTTATAGCCTCTCCGTGAATCGCAGATGATGCCTCCCAAGCTTTGGCATCTTCTTCCACGATCCCGTATTCCGGGAGTTCATTAGTGCTGCCTCCATGGCCACCTGCAATAACAAACAAAAAAGTGATCCCTTCACTCTGTTACTACTATTTTTACCTCATTCCCGCTGCATGGAAACAGTGTCCCATTTTGGTCTCTCCTCGCATGAGGTCACTTCTTAGCCTTCTTTTAAAAAATCAGGGTTGTTTTTACTGCTGCTCTGAGTTTTGGGACGGCAATGTGTTTTGGGAAGAGGTAGCTGCCAAAATAGCCCACGAGCATATCTACACCAGACTGAAATGCATTTTCAAGGTTCAATATTTATGAGATCTAGAGCCAAGGGGGTGTGGTTTCTCTCTTTCCACTAGGCGCTTGCTGGAGATGCCAACAGCAGCAAAGAAACCAGTAATAGGGGAAACCACACTTTCCCTTTCAGCTGAGCTTCAGAAGCAAGCAGTGGCAGCCACTGGGTTTTCTGCAAAAGTCCAGCATGAGGGCAAGCTCCCCTTCCCACCTCTAACTTCTCAGCCCATGCTACAAGGGCTCTCAATTCTTACTGCAGCTCATGCTTTGATTATTAGTGGCTCATTTTTAAATATTCATTTCTTTCACTTGATTCAGAAATGGAAAAATATGAAGCATGTAAGAAGAGGAGTCCAAGTGCTGTGTTGTACTAAGGACTTATTTTCTGAAAAGGTTAGCTGGTAAAGCAATCCAAAATCTTTGCCCTATGAAAAGGAGGAGGAGGAGGTTGGATTTATACCCTGCCCTTCACTCAGAGTCTCCTTTCCCTTCCCCTCCCCACAACAGACACCCTGTGAGGTAGATGGGGCTGAGAGAGCTCTTTCCAGAACTGTCCTTGAGAGAACAGCTCTGACAGAACTATGGCTTCCCCAGGGTCAACCAGTAGCTGCAAGTGGAGGAGTGGGGAATAAAACCCAGTTCTCCCAGTTTAGAGTCTGCACACTTAACCACTACACTGGGGAAAGGCCCATCAAGTCAACATTTATCAGATATTCTATAACAACAGAACAGTTTTAATACTATTCCGCAAATGTTGAAGGACAAAAATGCACCCAGTTCTGCTTGGAATGGGAGCTATGTTCTACTATTTGCATTGGTGGGAAATGAGCTATTTAGGAAGCCGACAGGGTAGCTTGCCCGAAAAGGAGACCAGCGCCCAGTAGCACCCATTGTTCTCATACAACACTGGTTTCAATTGTTTGTAAGTGGAAGCCACAGAGCATCTGTGAGTGCCAAGATGGAGAGATGCTCTCAGAGTAGGACACTAACATGCCATCTAATCCCTAGACTTTCCTGAGAATAACAATACTTAAGAGTACGCCAAACACCACAGGGGCCCAACAGCAAGCCTCTGTCCTTGACCCCAGCTCCATGCTTAGTTGAGGGGAGGGGGGCTTTTCATGACCACAGTGCTAAGTCTCAAAAACTGCTTGCTATGTTCCAAATGCTCCTGAGGTTCAGCATAAGTTCAGGCAGCCAGTGTGGGATAGTGGCTAAAGTACTGGACCAGGACCTGAGAGATCCAGGTTCAAATCCTTACTTTGCCATAGAAGCTCACTTTGAAAGCTTGGGACAGGCACTCTTTCTCAGTCTAACCTGCTTCACAGGGTGGTTATTGTGAGGATAAAACGGAGGACAGGAGAACGATGTAAGCTGCTTTGGGTCCTCACTGAGGAGAAAGGTGGGGTAAATTAAGAGAATAATTTTTAAAACGATTAAAATACACTACTTCTGTTGAACAGAACAAGGTGACAGGGTCCCCTTCCAGACTTTGGGGTCCCCCAATAGCAGCTCCGGGCTGTGATCCTGGAGATGGCTGTGGCATATCTTTCAGCTTGACAACAAAGCTTCATACTCATTAAAATGGTAAAACCTACTTCAGTTTGCACTACTTCAGACTGTGTAGGAGGCTTTTCACCAGCAAAACAATCAATAGCCGTACACAAAGAAAACAAGATATATTTATACTGCACTTTCTCCCTAATGGGACCCAGAGCAGCTTACAACATTGTTTCCCCTCCTCCTTTTGGACTCACAACACCAACCCTGTGAGGTAAGTTGGGCCAGTCACTCTCTTTCTCTCAAGTCTAATGACAACCAGTGAGCTTCTGTGGAGTCAGGATCTGAACCTGAGTCTACCATAACCTGGATATCACAGTGACTACATTTGAACCTGACATTGAATCATCTATACACAGGATTTTTCTTTGTGTAGGTGAGGAGAATTTGGTCATGACACATACGCACCATTTCAACAGTGCCGGCCCTCGGTTGCTTAAGACCTCTGCCTCAGGAAAATCCCACCCTCAAAATTATCCCAATTTTAAAGTGACAGTTTCAAATGGTGTTTGCACAGTATATGCACAGAGAGAAGTCCTAGATAATCTATCAGGGAAAGGTAGCCAGTCTGAAGAGGTACAGTCACCCGAGGTCCTTATGAGGTCACTGCAGAAACAAAACTGAAATGGGAAGGGCTTTCCTGGTTTGCGTTTCAGTCTTTTAGCCCTTTCACTAAGCCGTGAGGTACTTTGTTAATTAGCAGCCTGTTCACATGTCAGTTGCCTCAGTGTATCCAAGAGCCACTGGCTCACACATTTTTGTCTTAGCTCAGGAAGGATGGCTCCAGAGCAAGCTAATTCATGCAGTAGCCAAATTACCTGCTCACAACTTTAATGCCAATAGCTCACAAAGTAGAATTTTTGCTTACAAGACTCCACAGCTTAGAGGGAACACTGGACTCCTAGCTAGAGATATTTCTGGAAATTTCAAAAACTTATTGGGGAAAAAATGGAAGAAAAGCAGTAGAATTGGGTTGGTGGGGTATGTGGAATATTTACTGTGAGGGACGGCTTAGGTTCTGTCTCTCCCTAAGAATTACCAGTGGGAGCTGACGGAATGTTGGTGAGAGGGACAGTTGAAAACGGCAGTTAAGGGACTTGGGAATGAGTCTGGCCGAGTGAAGCTGTGAAGATGAGCAGCTTAAAACTGGATTTAAAAGGCCAGTTTGTAACAAAGGGTCCCAAATGCCGGAATACGGAAAACAGTTCAAAAGTTCAATTGCAAAGAAACATTATAACCTCTACCTGATTTTCTTCAGTGTTACATGCAAACCACAAATAAAAGTTAACTCCTTGTTTGTTTAACCCAGTGGGCTCAGAAAATAAATGACTTAGTAGACAAAGGAGTAATGAGGGACAAGCAATACTTTGACCAGAAAATAGGGAAACAGACACCTTGGTTTCAATATATACAATTAAAAAATCTCATTGATCACTTCACAGAACTGGGTATGTTTCGAAGAGAACTAATGACCCTGGAAAAAATCATTAAACTCTACCCCAGCTATCCGAAGGGCATCCTGTCTAAATTATATAATACGATCATTTTGGAAGGAGATCACCCAAAACTTAAATACCAACATCGATGGGAAGAAGATCTGCTGGTACATTGGGATGACACAGATTGGAGCACTGTATGGTCCTCTCCAGCCAATCACTCCAAAATCTTCAATATCTGACTACAGTTTTTCAAACTTTACCCCAGGTGGTACATGACTCCTCATCAATTACAAAAAATAAACATAAATAATGATCCACGATGTTGGAAGGGTTGCAGGCAGGCTGGCACTTACTTACATTGCTGGTGGGAATGTCCAAAAATTAGCAAATTTTGGGAGGAGATTCGAAATCAGATCACAGATATAACCTCGCTTACTCTTAATTTCAAGCCTGAAAACTTTTTACTAAACCATTGGGATATCGACATGTATGACAGAAATAAGGAAATTATTTCGTTACTCCTTGCAACAGAACGTCTAACAATAGCCTCATGTTGGAAATCTCCTTCACCACCAACAATAACTGCTTGGCATGAAAAAGTGTGGGAACAATTTGTGATGGCAAAAATCTCAGACAGTGTACATAGAGCACAATTGTCTCAGGTGTCCAATTCCAAATTTGAATCAACCTGGTTTCCAATATTCTCACATGATATACTCCCTGCAAACTCATATTATCATAAATGGTTACTGACGTGAAACAATATTATTAAAGCCTGATGGGAAAAGATATTATCTGTAATCCTCACTCCTCTAGTTCTGCAAACTAGCGAACTTGGGTATTATAGAAGATCTCTTTGTTGAAATGTTACATTAACTTTGACTTAATTTTTGTATGTTATTGAAATGTGCTTCTATGTTTATGTATCTCTTTTATTAGCAACAGTATGGCATAAATTGTTTTGAAAAAATAAAAAAAATATTCAAAAAAAGAAAGAAAATAAATACCCTTATAATTAAAAAGCAGCAATAAATTGACATATTCACTTGAATACTGTGACAGTTCAAACGTTCAATGGAAAAAAACATTGTAAGCTCTACCTGACTTTCTTCAGTGTTATGCAGGGGTCATTTCCTGCAGGAGCGCACAGGAGCAGAGCTCTGGCAGTAAAGAGCCCAGGGGGCAGGCACATGCAACAAGCCCCACCCCCTGCTCCCCGCAGCCCTCAGTCAGAGCAAGAAGCAGCCAGGTTAGCTGCAGAGCCCCCCCCCCCCCGTCCCCCTGGTCCAAAACAGTCCAGTGACACCTTTAAGACCAGGTTTTATTCAGGTACAAGCTCTCCCTCCTCTGTGAGGACAGATCTGCACGTTCCTCCCCCCCCCTCAACAGGTAGCAATCCAAAACAGTCCAGTGGCACCTGAGCGGTGGGTGTTGCCTCCTGACACACTTCCGGTGATGTCAGGGGGTGTGGCATATGCAAATAAGTTATGCTAATGAGCTCCTGCCCCTCTTTTTCTACAAAATGACCCCTGGTTATGTACAAACCACAAATAAAAGTTAACTCTTAGTTTGTTTAACCCAGTGTGCTCAGAAAATAAATATCTTTATAATGTAATTAAAAAGCAGCAATAAATGAAATATTCATCATGACATCAATGTGCCCTTTAATAGTGCACGAGCACTGTACTCAGTTAAAGTTGCAACCTGATACATGCTTATCAAGACGCAACCTGATACATGCTTACCAAGATGACAAAACATC